TTCTGCCCACCAAGTGTTGGCCTTTTGTTATCTCTCCTAATCCACATCCCTCCTATGAGATTGCTAGACAATAATCAACAAATCAAGAGCAGTGCTGTGCAGTTAAATGCTCCAGGATTCCTGCTTGAGCGATACCTGCAACCGCTTGCCTGTCTACAGGGTTCTTCCTTTTTCCTCGGCCCTGGAGATTCTGAACTATGTGCTGGGATAGCCTGACAAAGCCACGCCAAGTACTAAGAGGTCATGGTGGATGCTGCCATGGAGAGGGGACAGGGAATGACTGGGCCTGTGAAGAGCGACAGAAGTGAAAGGCTGATCATGCATATGGGTGTGAATACCCACTGCCAACTGCACCCGAGTTCAGGGAGGTGAACGGGTCAGAATTAGAAACACAGAAAGAGGTATCTGACTTGACCAAAGGGTGATGGACAAAGCAATACTTCTGAGTCTGGAAGACCGACCTGATCTCACTGCTGCGAACTACCTAATCAGCACAGACGAGTCTGAGCGACAAGCCAAGCAAACAGAGCATCTCTTTGCATCTGCAAAGCTGAGAGTAGCTCTATCAATCCACTTTGAGTGATTTCCTTGATTGAGATAATAAAAGTGGTATTTTTCTGAGAACCAGACTAGCCCAGCTGCATTCAAAGTTCAAACCAACAGCGTTTTAACCAGATTAGGGAACAGTCTCATCCTGGATACTCTAACAGTTTTAAGACCATTCTCCTTTTCCTGGAGGGAGAAAGGACACAGCAGCAGCACTGTCCGAAAAGAACCCTTGCCTCAGCAGCTGAGAGCTCGCATCAGTACCCTACTAACATCTTTTACATGGTGCAGCTAGTAAAGCTGGGGCCCCAGTTGGATTCTATAAAAGTAACCAGGTTTAAAGCAGCTTGTGGCCCAAACACGTTACAAGAGTCTGTTTTTGACAGCATGCAAGTTTTTCTGCAACTTAACTCTGGGAAGAATGCATTAAATCTAGCTCAGTTTAAGACCCAGATCATAAACACACTATTCACTATGTATGGAACAGAAGTGATTCTTACTGTCAGAAGATGCCTATTATACTACAATGGTATCGGTACCATAACCGGGCTTTTTTTTTTGCTAGGGCACACTTCGGACAGCTCTCTCATAGCCTATGAGCTCCCTATTGGTCTATTAGGCTGTACTGATACTCAGCATATTCCAAATTTCTCCCAGAGTTAGTTTAGTATCCATGGCTCTCTGGTACCAGCAATAGTAGCAACACTAGCTGAGCAAAGGTAAATCTTTTTTAGCCCAGTATCACGTAAACCTGTTTGGAGTCTAGATGTCCTAGTAGAAATATTCACATCATTAAGACTAATACAAAGGGATGTTAAACAGGGTTTTGTTGTAGGAGTTGTATTTAAAACATAGCTCTGAAAGAGTGCTTATGCAGCTTCAGGTCTCTATGTACCCAGAACCTTTATTAATCTGGTCTATTCCACCTGAAGTGTATTTATGCCCACCATGTCCTTATCCCTTTTGACAGAAAGAGTACCTCTCCATGCCAGCCTTTGTTTCCAGATGAGCACCTTGTGCTCACAAGCCCAGTGAACAAAACCCCATCTGCTTGGGATCTCTGATGTTATCTGGTACTTTCAAGCAATCTCCCTCCCCGCTCCGCTGGCCTAAGATGCCCCAGAAAGCACCTGCCTCTGCAGTGCATCAAAGCTTCCACAAAACTCAGAAGTGAAAAATAACGCTGTTGAGGCAGCCCAGAGAGCAGGAGCCAAGCCCCAGCCATGGCTCTTCCTCTGAATTCTCTGAGCTGGACCCATTTTTCTTTCTGGTGCAGGTTCCAGTGTTCTTGAGGTAGCTTATTTTTCATTGAAAGATGAAGTCTTTACATCTCATAGAGAAAAATGACTACTGTAGGCTTTGTTAACTGCATGTCGCTTCTGAAGAGCATCAGGTTCTACGAAGAAGCCGGTGACATTTGATTATCACTTAGATCAGGAGGAGAAAGAGGGAAAACAAGTTTCAAAGGCAAGTCTGACACCATTACAAACAGGAGCAGAAATGACCTTCACAAGCAGCTCACTCGCTCTGCTGCCAAAAACCATCCTCTCTGCCCCCGTCATCTTAAACTTCAATATACCTGGGGCAGTGCACGCTGACGTCAGCCGCTGCAGCTGGGGAATCCAGGGGCTTTTCACTGAGTTGGGGAAAAGGGACTGATATTAACTTCCAAGGACAGATGAGAGAGGTTCTGCTTTCCAAATCATAGTGCAAAGAACAAGTGAGTGCCAATTCATGCCCATCAAAGCTGAAAAAATAAGCCCCCCATGAGGAAGGGGATATCCAGAATACACAACACCCTCTGGGCAAAGAAAACTATAAGTGCTCCCTTTGTTGCAGGCAAACTAGTTGGGATCAGCCAGCCTGGCACGCTTGAAAAGTTTGGCTCTGATGTTCAGGATGGGCTCAAAAAAAAAAAACTTAAAGCACCATTCTGCTCTAACCAGTTTGGAGGAGGACGGTGCAGCATCTGACCTTTGTACTCAAGCAGGACCAGATCAGATAACAAAAAAATCCAGACTAAGCATGGGGGGGGGGCTCATCCTGCCAGCAAGCTGTACGACAGAATCAGTTACACGTTTACAGACCCCTCCCACAGGTGCAAGGCAAATCCAAACCCTAACCTAGCTGACGGCACTGGCCTGTTCCTGAAATCATGATGGGAAGGGGAAAAAAAACCATAATCGAGTCAAAGCCAAATTAAACTCAGGATCTTCCTTGCCCCAAAGGCTGCAGCAGGAGATTTACTCTTTATTTACTGTAACATCTGCCTTGCCTTTAAGTCTTCACTCCTAATAAATCTATCATTCATTGTACACATACGGAATCCATTGAGCTAAGTAGCCACTGAGGTCCTGCTGGGACCATTAACTATCATTATCTGGGGCAGCTGTTCCCCAACGGCCTGATGTGGGAATCAATCAGGCTAAAGCATGAGTTTCCCCTACACCTCTCCAAATGCTGCTCCTGTCCTCCCTGTGACAGGGAAGAAAAACAGAAGCAAGGTTCTGCCTTGGTGCTAAGGCTTAATGAGCATCCTCTTCATTTTGGAGGCAGCTGGCTAAGGACAGACCAATGGCGGGCCAGACAGGTGTCAGGTTGACACAGAGACGGGATGAGGTCTGACTGATGTATCTGCAGAGAGAGGAGCCCAGGTGATCAGAACTGGGCCAGTAAGATGAGAAGGGGATTGCGTTTTTTTGCTTCCTTTAATACCCCCGAAATGAGACCACCCCTTTCTCTGCAGTGCATGCGCCAGTCCAACCTTTCATGTGCTCAGACAAAGCGGACAAGCTGACATTCAGGATTTTCACACCATAGCGGGTCAGCCTTTGTTACCTCAAACTGTTCAACTTCCAAGGCACTGAAGCTTAAAGACGCTCACATCCACTAAAGGGGCCTCATTTCCCTGGCCAAAGCTGCTGCTTAGCCTCACAGGAGAGATTCTCAGCCACAGGATCTTCTCTACTCTCTGGAGGACTGCTGGCAGTTTTAGAGCAGGATCATGGGACTGAACTTGGGTAACAGGAACAGGGTGTCAGCCCTGAGCAAGTGAAAAAACATCAAGGACTGAAAAAAGGAAAGTCAGTTTTCCTTCCTGCCATAGGCTAATGGCAAGTATTTATTAGCCAGTTTAGGTTTCAGGTTGGGATGGATGGAGATGAACACTCTGGTGTAAGCCTGGACTAAGGAAGTTGCGGACTTGCACCTTAAAAACGCATGCACACGTGTGGCCCAGGTAATCCTGGAATTTGGTCTTTGAACTACAAAATTCAGAATAGATTCTCTATTAAATGTACACATCAATGCAACAAGTGGCCAAGTAGCTGTCCTTTCCCTAAGTATAATCACAACTCCATTCTGTCTGAAAGGATTTCTCAAACTTATTTCCAAGATCTGGATCCCAAAGAAGTTAATCCTATGCTAGAGAAGCTCTATTGTCTTTTGAGAGGACAGGAAGAATGATGAAGATGCAACCCCCACACCCCCCACAATCCATTAGCTTTAAATTGGTGAGAAATATCTTTAAGGTATCCCCACCTGGACCTTTTACCACTAGAAAAATCCAAGAGAGATGACAGTCCATTCGTACACTGGATAGTCAATCCATATGCTTTATTTTCTGGTCACAAGGTAACACTGTATAAATGCTCCCTCACCACCATCAATTAAAAAAAAAAAAAGCCTTTATGGCAACTTTCATTCTTAGCACGATATCTTGAAAAACAGAGCCGAGGGAAGAAGGCAAAGACAGCTGTGTCAGTGTAGAAGTTTCAGACTCTGCATACCATACAGCAGTGAGAAAATATTTGGAAATGGGTATTTGAAATCACTATCCAGATCATAAAAACAGGGTTAAAAAAATTACACTGGCTACAGATTTATAGTTCGTTCAGTATTTTGAGGGAGCTGGATGGCCAAGCCATCAAACAGATACTCCAACACATATACAATTCCTATGAGAAGAGCTGGCTGGAAAACAAAAGTTTCCATTCCACAAAGTCTTGCGCAACTTAGAAAACCTTCCTGCTCTTGTGAGAACAAATGTTCATGTAAGAACAAGGAAAGATGCCTATTCCAGGATAGCCAGGCACCTGATGGGTAGAGCTCCTGTCCTTGAGGTGGCAAACCCATGTTCAAATCCCAGTTCTGCCATCTCCTGCAACTCAGACGCCTGCCCTAACCACCATACTTGGGGCCTTCCCCGGGGTGTCTCACTCTCTCTATTCCCCTTCCCTCAGTGATGACCAGAGATCCTACCTTGGAGCTGAAAACCCTTTCCTGATCAAAGTTTCATCAATACTTGTTCATGCCCACAAAAGTTTTGCTTTCAGCAAAGAGCCCTTTCCTGGCAAAATGTGCCAGAAAATTTTCAAGAGGCTCCAGTTGTGATTCAGTGTCCACTGTGAAATGGGTAGGGGCTTGTTAAGACACCTGAACCTCACGGGACTCACCTATCCACCTCATCAAGGACGTCATGATTTGAAGATACTTGGTCTTCTGAACATTAAAGAAGGTGAAAGGACCCAGCAGGAGAGTAAATGCTGCCTGCAAGATAGAAGGTAAAAAACTATTATAATTAGACTAAAAATAAGAATTCTGCTAGTAAAACCAAACCCAGCCAAGTAGTGTTCCCCTTGAGAGCTCAGCTCAGGCATAGCTGTTTGTCACTGAGCTTTCTTCATTATTTAGTCTTACAGTAGGGCTGGCTGAGACAAGAGGGTCAAGCAACTCGCCTGGGTGTCAGACTTCATGCCTCAGGCAGAAGAGCTCCGAGGTCCCAGACGTTTGCTATCACTATACCCTGCTATAACCTACACATTTTCACTTCAAGCTCTGGGTATAACGTTGTGGAACATTAAATATTAAACCATGGTCTTTTTGCTCAGGTACATGCTCAATTTAGGCTTGGACAGCTGTTGCGAAAACCAGTCTGACTGCATTAAGGGTGATGGACTTGGCTCAAAGGGTTCCAGGCCAGACAGCCACAGGACCTACAGACCAGTTTGCCAGCTCCACGTACATCAGTGCCCAATGTTTTCATTTTTATATATTTGTAGCAGAGAGTTACAGCACAACCGCCCCCCTCCCGCCCCCAACTGCTCCACTGAGCTAAAAACCCTTTCAAAAACAAGGATTTGCCTCACCTAGAGTTTGCTATCAAAGGAAAGCTCTATGCCGTACAGAAATCCAAGTTCCCGTCAACAATGGATCTACTTTCAATTTGCCCTTATTTGGCACAACAGTCTTAATGACAGCTAGATAAAGATCAGATGGGGCTCTAAAAATTAAACTTGGGAATGGTGCATTACCAGAATCTGCTAAATCTTAGAGCTGCCCATCATATGGCAGTAGCAGAAATAAAGAAAAACAGTTTCTTAGACATAAAAGACTTCCACTTACCACTCCTCCCCTGCACAAGACACTATCAACAGGGACAGCGCAGGTGAAGGAGCTGTGCCCTCTTACCCCACTTCAATGCCATGGAGCTCGTAATTAAGCTGTGCAAGATCAGAGAGTGGGATACATGATGCTAACGGGGGTGGGGGGCAGTCTTTTGGAAAGTCGGGAGAGAAGAGGGACAGATAGTGAAGGGGACCTCTGGAAGTAGCTCTTGCAGGGACTGACTGTCGATTGCCATAATTAAGGACTGACTCATTAACAGGTGCAAATAGTAGGATCTAGGAAAACATTCAGAAGGCAACAGCACGCACTTGACCTATTGGCATGGCAACCTGGCACGATTACTAATGACAAATTTAGGTTTGCATTTGTATTGCTCTGCATCTCAAAGCCTTTTTTTCAAATGGAAGGCAGCGCCCCCATTTTATAGCTAGGGAAACAGAGTCACAAAGATGCATCATGACTTCAGGGTCCCCTGATAAGGCATTAGCGGAGCTTAAAGAACTCCGGCTATTAGAGACAAACAACCTAAGAAAATTGTTTGGCTTTTCAAAATGCTTCTCAAGAGAGAGACAGGTGGTGATCAAAACCATTTCCCACTGCAAATCTTCTCAGATGAGCAGAGTAAGTGCAGGAACAGGGCAAGAAGTCTGGAATCATGGGTTCTGTGCCAAGCTCAGGCAAATTTCCCACGTGCCCCACTGCAATCACCCTCAGTGCTGTAGCTTCCCATTTTGCAAAACAAGACCAGAACAGAAGTGCGATGCACACTCTGATCTGTAAAAGGCTCTGAGATCCTTTGGCTGAGATGCATTCAAGTAGCACAAAGGATATTAAATATAATTGACAAGTTTTAGACAAAAAGAAAAGAGAGAGGACCCTTCAGTTCCAGCAAAACAGAATAAAAAACCCCATTGTTACAGTGAGACTTTATTCCACTTTTTACCTTGCTTGGGTTATAAAAATCTTTTTCCTCCCACAACCTTCTTTCCACAGGCTGCCATTCAGCCCCAAAGCAGAAAGCAACCCTTAAGGGTTAGACAGGTGGGAATAATCACCAGAGAGATGCAATGGACACATACAGGAAAGCAGGCGAGAGACCTCTGGTATACCTACTAAGCAGAAGCCAAATCTCCTGCAACTGGAAATTACAGCTCCATACTCTGCTAACCTCTCCTTAAAAGACAGGCTGCTAAACAACCTCCCTTCAAGAGAGGTTATTAGCTCGTGCATCAGAACGAGCTGAAACAAAGAGACAGGCGAGGGATGGTGATAATTAAGGAACAGGTGTCCTGTGCAAATTAGAACACACCAGAACCAAATGGCAAAACAGATCTTTAATCCAACGGAAGGACGGACACGGCATCCCCAGGCACAAGGGTAGTACTGCAGAAGTCTGGGTTTCTCTTACACACCAAAGCTTCACCAGCACAGTGTCAGGAGACCGTAGGCTGGTTTGCCAACTACAGACACGCTTGTCGGCAGAAAAAGCAGGGACCTGGATCTACGGCAGGTGTTTGGGAAATGTCACCATGTTCTTTCTGGATCTTCCATAGTAACATCTGCATGATTATACATTCTCCTGCTCTCAAGCCACCTTGGGCTACCAGGTCCATTGATCATCCTCACAGTACATCTTCAAACACTCCCTCCCTCTCCTTCACAGCCTCCACTACTCAACTCATTAGGACGGAGATGGATACAAATCATCATGCCCGAACGTATGGATTTTTTCTGCTCCTTTATAACAAGCAATATCTTTTGTTCATAATAAGATCCCGGAACCGGTCTGAAGGAACAAAGTGTGAGATGAATTCAAGTGCAATATAAATACATGTTACCTTCCCCACCCGACTCCCATCGATGAACGAAGACAAGCAGCCAGGGCTCGGCGAGAATAAACGCGGGGCCCTGAATTGAGATGAGCCAGGTTGTGCTGTTCTGAAGGGCTTTTGTGCGCAGACCCCGTTTAGAGAGGAAAAACGGCGCTAAATGCTGAAAGGTCTTCAGATGCAGGAGGCTGAATGCGGTGGATGCATTAAACAACAAAATTAACTCTGTGAAAAATCTGTTCCAAGCCCATGAAATATTTGATGCGCTAAGAAAAAAGGGGGAAAAAAATTCCTCGGTTAGTAAAGGAGAACCAAGTGGTCGGTACAATCCAGTGACATGGTCTCTTCTTAATTGCCTCTGAACTG